TGTCCTCAAGGAACAGAAACAAAGCACACCAATGAAGAGCAGGGATTGTCAAGAAACGAACAGGAAACCACGCCTATAAAGAGTAAGGCTCACTGACGTAAATATAGCCCAAATAAAAGTTATCCACCAAGCCAGAAACAAGGCCATTTCTTTGACCAAAGCAGAGCAAGGCAGTAGATTACATGGCAACTTGAAATCTGCCAGCAAGTTAACATCAATATGGGATAATCCAAGAAGGAGAAGTGCAATCGCACCAGGCGCAAAGAACTGCAGAACTACAAGAAACATGTAATGGTTGTGCAAGAAAACTTTTGCCCTGCTATAATCCAAGTCAGGGACCTTACTGGCATGCAATCTCTGGTACCAACACAGTACCGCTTCATTTAAAAACATCTGCACATTTGGCCGCAAAGACAAAATTTGCAAAATACCAGAACTGAACATGCACCAAACCCTGAACTTGTAGAAATCTGATCGCAACATGCCCAATCTACCTATCAACTCCTCAGTATATCTGTTCCTACCATTGGAATGAAGCCCTTTGATTCCATCAGATTTCTCGCAGACGAGGAGTTCAGTAAACGGGCCAACCCAAAGCGTGGAAGTGAATACAACTAACAAGTAATTGCCATAAAGAAGCATTCTTCCAAACCATCCACAGGAAATTATGGACAAATTAGAACGAATCTGATCAGTTCCAAGCCAAAAGGCACGAGCATTCCTCGTAGCTGGGATGTAAACGAGACCCACAATGCAGCCCATTAGAACAGCAATAAAGAACTTCCCAAATCCGTCCAACGATTCAAAATCAAAATCAAGACCCCATCCGGGAACCATCTCCAAAACAATCGCGAGGCCCCAGAAAAACCCAAGAACCCCAAATACAAGACTCAACAGCCTCTCTGACCTTTTAGAAGCTGATCGCTCAAATGAAAGCTTGGCAATCAAAATTAACAATCTACATACCCCAACAATTCCTAACAAAATCGGGATCACGGACCCATTTTCTAAAATCCCAGAATCTTTTGATACTCTTAAAAATCTGTGAAGCAGCAAGCAAGAAATGGCAACCAGACTGGAATTAAAAGCACTACTAAACTGGGTATAATAAACCCTTGTTTGTAAGTGATCATCATTGAGCTTTAGTCTAAAGATCTGAGCTTTATTCTCATCAAACTCAAATTTATCTTTGGATTTTTTTCTGGGTTTGTGTTCAGAGTCGAAAGTACCTGGCCGCCGAATCGCAGCTCTGATACCTCCTCCACCACGAGAAGAGTTACTGTTAGGGGGAGCGACATCATCTGGATGGACATAGGTGTGGAGGCCATAGAGAAAAAAAGCAGGGATCTTGAGGAAGGAGAGAAAAACCGTGAGGGAAAGACAAAGTGTGGCATGGAGAATGAGATTGCTGGATGACAAATAAAGCATGATATGATTTTGTATTTCTGACCTTTTCTATGCACGGTGGCTAAATGCAAGTGAAATTGCGTCTAGTAGCAAAGCAGTAATCTAGCACCAGAATATTCCATAAACGAGGACAAACTGTAGAAGATTTCAAAGGAAAGGGCGTTGGCCGTTTAGATGAGGAAGTTGCAATTAAGGACGGGCGTTAACAGTTAATTTGGATTGGTCAGTATCCTGGCTTTTTATTGATGAGATTTTGGGTACTTGGGAACAAATCTCTGCGTTAGACAATGGCGCCTATGGAGGCGCTCAGACGATTCCTGAATGGGTTGGGCGAAATCAGAACACCTCTCACATTGTCCCGACTCAGCTCAACTCCTTCAAATTCACGTTAATTGACTTTGAGATTCGGGTTTCACCCTCAATTTTTTCCTAATTCCTTATTTTCCCTTGTATAGTTTTGAACCAACCTGCCCAAGACAATTAAACTGAGTTTCAACCTATAAGACCCAACACTTTTTTTGTTAAAATTCTAACAATGGTGAACTGGTATTCAAAAATAGATAGCTTATTATCTATTTTTTAGAGCACATTTTGTCTTGAAAATTTAGTATCACTTAATTAGTTCAGATATTCAATTTTTTGTTGTTAAACGAACGTGAACAGTTATGATCTGAATTTATTAAATTTAAGTGCTGAATTGAATTATCAAATACAGTCTAAGTCCAAATATAATTTGTTTATCTTTTAAACTTTATTCCACTTAAACTCAATTTTGAACATCAATGAATCAAGAAAGAGAGTCACCCAATCTCTTATTAATTAATAATCAAAATAGGAGTGTGTTTGGATAGTAGATTATTTGGAATAATTTTTGACAAAAAAAATACTGTAATACATTTTTGATGTGATATATATGAGATAAAAAAATGATTGAAAAATATGTTGATGATGTAAGTAAATAAAATTTGCCAAATAATCTCGATCTAAACAAACCCTCCAACAACATGTTATACCATTAAAACATCAAGCCAAATGCAAAAAATGTTTGGCTTGATTAGATATGTTTACATCTTAATCGTTCAATTACCATATTACCACTGTGAGGTTCTGATTCATTTTTTTTTTATCCTAATTGGTTTTGTTTTGCACTAGGTAATACTAAGCAACCCAATTAAAAAAAAAAGGCTTTGATTTTGTTTTGTGACTAGGCCTTAACTTGTGCTCGCGACATGCAGGAGACAAATTTTCACGACATCCAATCTTCCTTCGCACGCCCGACTAGTAAATTCATCATTGTCGTGAAAGTCATCTGTTATTTAATTGTTTCTAGTTTAATTAGATAGATTTACTTGTGAGATGCGAGCAACAAGTGTGTACAAGGAAAAAATTTTAAGCACCTGGTGAAATAAATAATTTTGGCAAAAATATTTCGCAATTAAAACAAGAAAAGAAATTAACACGCACATACATGTGTATGCAAAAACACGTAGCCGTCGGGAGGATTTTGCCTAATAATTAAGGTTGATATTCCGAAATTTAGAGGTTTTGATTGATAATTTCCCTACATTCTTCATGCTTTTGAAATTCCATTCATTCCTATTAGAAAAAGAATTAAAAAGAAAAAAAAATTGTCTCACAAGGCATCACGGCAATGCAATTAGTTTCGAGAAGCTGATGAGGCCCTGTCATTGCGTGTCCATACCAATCAAAAGATCTGAAGCCCACAGTCAATCCAATGGGCAATGACAATGATCTGCATTTATGAAGTCGGACAGTCATAGGGTTTTCTTTTGAAATGGACACGGACCCGACCAAGATTTACGGCTCACTACTGCATATTAAAGCCCATAACCAACGATTCCAGGCAATCTATTTCCATTTTCCAGACCCTTCGTCCGCACCAAACGTGGGGTTAGTTAAACAACGAATTGCAACATTTCATAATTTTGAATTAAGGCCTTATTTAATAACTCAATTCACCACTTAAATTTAATGGATTCAGATCTTAATATGTTTAGATGCGTCTGATACCGAAAAATTAAATATCTGAACAAAACTTGCTCCAAAAAATAAGTGATAAACTATTTATTCATCATTTGATGTGATACACACTTAAATGTATCAGATTTACGACTTAATAATTTAATAACTCAATGGATTCAAATTTCAGTTTTATCTGATGCACCTTAAGATTATATAAATAATGCTAATACTCCATAATTAGACAAACGCTTCTTGATTAAAATATAGAGTCCAAAACATAAATATTTCTCAGCCAAAAAGGAGAGGAAGAAATCGACTTACAAAAAGATATTGGAGCAGGGTATGTGTAAAAGATGAAATCAGAAATTCCGAAGGAAATGAATGGGGTAGGAGGGAGCATTCATCACTGTGTTCTTTATGCGCTTTCGTGTCCGCAGAAACAGCAGACTGATGTTGATGTCACGCAGAGCATAAACTTTATTGTATTCCAGTTTTGGGGAGAGGAATAGGGCGTTGTTAGGGCGGTTGCGTAAATTGGGATTGAAAACGTGGTCAAATAGGTAACGCGGAACAAAAAATCAAAAGCCACGATGACAGTCCAAATAAGAAGATATACAAAAGTGATCAGATTTTTTTGTTTTATAGCTTTGCAGTGTCCATAATTTAATTCAATCCCACAGGTCTCTGTGCTTGAGAAAAGATTCTCCCATGATATTGAACGACATAACCTCACCAAAATATCTCCTCCTTCCCCACCCAGAATTTAATCCCCGGCCTTGAGATATTTTTCGCTCACCGGCTCTCCTGTACGCTATGCTATGCGCCTCGCTCCCATACCCTCACCAGCCGTCGTGAGCTCCACATCCTTGCTCCTTTTCATTCATTATAAATAAATAGTATAAGACTGGCGGCTGTGGGGCACAGCACAAGGCGTTGAAAACCATTTGAGCTCTAAATCAAAATAATTCAGAATTTTCTAATAGTGGATCTTTCAAGAGAAAAATTTCTAGATAATGTATATTATACCTGACATGATTATTATGTGCTTATTCATGCTACTATTTTCGATCTCTTTTTTTTTGCGATGGCGAAGCGAAATATAGGTTCCTTCATAAAAAGAATGATAAAAAGGGAAAAATATGTCAAACGATCTATGAAATAAAAGTACTGTTTATATTTCGGCAAAATCTACTTATCAGAAAATTTGACGTATTGAAGAAGAAAAAAAAAGGTGATAATTTTTACCCAAATATATTTGCTTACATCATCATTACAATTTTCAATACACTTTTTAATCTTTTCAATTATTTTTTTATCTCACATACATCATATCATAAAGAGTGCTATAGTAAAAATATCTCAAATAATTTACGATCCAAACACATTCATTCATCGTTGATTACGCGATACAGTAACAACTTTTGGATATTTAATGGAACAGCATTAGGATTTAGGCGAGATGAGCGAGCGGAAGGGAGCACGTGGCAGTCAGAAACAGTGAGAGAGAGTGTCTCTCGTTCGTTGGTCGACTAAAAATTATGCCAGCTTGGCTTCATCAGGTTGCTCTATAAAAGCCCGTACGACTCTCCATACCCATGTTATCATGTTTCTAGACTTATGACTTCCCTCCAACTCTCGCCCAACACAAGGACATAATAATACTACTACTGCTGCGGATTAGGACATTCACATCTGTTTTTTTAGGAATTTCTGGGGGAAACACAGCCAAGTCCAAGTCCAAGTCCAAGTCCATCGAAAACTAAAAAGCTTTTTTTTTTTTTTTTTTCTTTTCCGGCGAAGTTGTGATGGATATGGATGATAGCAATACTGCTACTAGGAAGAACAACGGTAGTAGTTGTGGAGGAGGATCGCCGAGTTGGTGGTGGACAGACGAGAGGCACGTACGTTTCTTGAACTCGATTGAGGCTTCCTTCGTCCGAGCCATGTTTGACCACAACAATAATGCCAGCAACCGTCGTCAGTGTCACAGCCTGCGCCTTGATCGCCCGTTACCTGACTGTTTTGACTCCACCCTAGATGTGGGGAAGGATAGACGACGGAGGCATTCTATTTCTACCTCAGGTATAATAATATAATAGTAATTAATTATATTACTCCCCAGTTTTTCTTATATGTTTGATAGTATAGCAGTAGTATAATATCGCCGCTACTACTAACTAGTAACTACTACTTGCCAAGGAGGATAGACTCGAATGTAGTTTCTGTTCTGTTCTGTTCGGCGTAGACCCACATAATATGGTCGGACATTGTTGTCATAATTTACAATAATGATATGATGAAAAGTGTAAGTGGTACTGGTGGGTGGGTAAGATGATCGGGAGGCTTGTGAAAAACCACCATGTATTTCTGCTGCAGCTTCTCTCGCTTTCTTTCTGCATTGTATTATTGATTCCCCCCGTTTGGCTAGAATTGTGACGTTTTACTGGCCATCCAAACAAAACACCTGCCTCATCAAAACGATGATATGTAATTTGCAAACTACCGAATATGCCTCCCAGATATTTTGCTTCGCTTTTTCACTGTAGAATATGTATCTTTCCTCTCTCTCTCTTTTCTATTATTCTGGGTTCTGGAGAAATTACTACTATATATGATTTACATATAAAAAACATGTTGGTTTTGCTATCAAACGTGACAGATGCTGCGGAGTACTCATCCAGTGTAAGGACAGACAAGAAAAGTAGACGATTATCTTCACATGATCAGGTTTGCGCTGCTACTTTTATAGCTAGCTGCTGGTAACCTGTCGCGTTATTGTACTAATAATAACTAGTAATTCATCATTATTAAGCGGATGGTACAAAAAAAGCGTTCTGATCCATAATTTCAAAATTTTCATCTTATCTTAAGAAAGACTAACTAACTAACGTGCTTATCAAATGATAATTGTAGATGCGATATTTATTGTCATCCGATATCTTTGAGACTTAATTACATCACTAATCATGTGGGAAAATACTGCTGATTTTTTCTTTTTCTTTTTTTTATAATTAGAGCAGCCATCCATCATCAGATGAGATGGTCCTTGATCCCCTCATCTTCTTCTTAATTGGGTGACTACTAGTACTAATGGATGGATTGATTAATGATGGATGGGAGTGTCCTCGCAGGTGGTCCCGCAGCTGGAAGGTGATGATGATGGAATTAAAGATGAGAAAGAGAAGGAGGTGTAATAACCGTAAACGACCACCGGCACCGGCTGGAGGAATTCAGATATATCCTCCTTCCGCCCCGACCCACTTTTATCTTCTAAGACTACTATTAATAGTAGTAGTAGTATTATTTAGTGACTTTTGTGCCCCGCTCTTTTTTTTTTAATTTTTTTAATTTATAAAAAAAATGTTTGTCATGTATATAATCAGTTCCTTCCAAGACTAGTATGAGTATCTTGCAGGATGCAGAAGACCAAAATCCTTTACTAGCGTTTTGTCCAAATTCGCTCGTGGAATGGCATTTTGAGACTATCTGTCGTAGGCGCCCTGATACGTTATAGAAAACCCATGCCTTGATGGATGGATGGATGGAACAATGACATCGAAATTCATATGGGTTCATAGGACAAAACAACAAATACCAAGTTGTAAAAAGTTGGAACTGTCCTAATTGGTTTCAATACAGACCTTTTGAACATGAGACATGCAAAAAGCTGGTCCCCTTACGCTAGAATGAATGTCCAATCGACAGCGTTGATCTTGGAAGAAATCCTTTTCCTTCTGCAATGGCATCATTTTAGATCTTACCTGTAACGCAATGGATGGATTAACACGCAAGAGGCGAAGGGGTTAGCTGTTGACAAGTGGGCTTACGGTTTCTTTTTTCCTGCTTAAATTTCTTCTCCAGTTTCCGGCCGGCGACATTGGGCCTTAACTATTCACATGCTGATTGTGTTTGGCATGATCTAAGTGCTAAACTCCGATGCTTGGACCCGCATGGAAACAAGTCTTATCTGTTCTGCTTCTGCGTCAGACTTTTACAATTCTGGACTCTTCCACCTGAGCTCCACCATTCATGTCAGCTCGTATATTGCAAAATTTACTACTGGCAGTGGCACACCTTTTTCTTTATCAGACTTCTGTCTACGACACTGCAATTACGAATTGCACCGAGCAATATCCTGTCGTCTTTGGAGCAAAAACTTGTGTAGAACGGTCTACAAGTCCACCCAAAGATCAAGTGGTATACATTGTGCCGCATCATCAGCATTAATTAAAATGATGAGGCCTAGGCCCTCCAATGTTCTCTCTCAGTTCTTCTTTCAGTACGATGAAAATTCCATTTGCAGCAACATTCCAAATTAAGAAGGTTTCATTCCGCTTTCTTCCTCGATTTGCATTTTTCTTTTCCTTTTAACTTTGAGAACCGAAAGTACCCTTTGAATCAAATATCAAAGGGCTATGATCCGAGAGTCTTGTCGAACCAGGCAATCCGGTATTTCAACTTCAACCCTTCGATGCTTAAACTGATTGAACTCAAAATGGTTAGCAAGCTTAACTGAACTCAAAGCGCTAGGAACATTTTGACCTGAAACATTATGCTCACCAAGCATCATGTTTTCAGCAACTGTTACAAGATTATTCCCTCATTCACCAGAGGAAGTCTGTCAAAAGATCCTACATATTAAAAATGCTTATATACATCTCAAAGGAAGAAAGCACACGTTCCAGATCAAAGCAGATCCGAGAATTGCAACAAAACCACCTCAATGAAAAAAAGAAATAAACATTTCCTGTAAATGTTTGTAACATCAACTAAGTTCCATTGGCAGGCTTTGATGGTCCAGTGGCATCATTGTCCCCTTCTATCTCTATGTCTTTGACTCCATCAGCCAAGGCTGATGGGTCATTCTTACCCTTTCTCTCACCATTTTCATCCTCATCTTCAGATGCATCTTCAAGCAAAGAGCCCTTTCTTCGCAATTCCTTCACTTTGCGGAACTCGTCATAATGAGCCCGTCTGTGCTCCCGAAAGGTCCTGCTTCTTTCTGAATCAGAATCTGATGCATTTGTAGCAAATCATCTCTTAGAATCATATGGAACTGTATTGAAGAATTTATTCAAACAACAAAAATAAACATTAAGAGAGAAAATTATCATCCCCTTGAGTACTGCTAGCAGTAGCCTCAAATAGTGCAGCTGTCGTGTTGATCCAGAAAGAATTCTAACTGGTTTACCTATTTCATAAAAAGTGACTTTCCCAACAAAAAGCAAGCTTTACTTAAATTTCCACAAACAAAATTTTAATTTGAGAAACTACACAAATTTTGATGAAAATACAATTGGGCATTGATTGGAGATACACCTTCATCTTGATCCATGGCATCTGCTTCATCCTCAGATGATGTCCAGCCTGAGCGTCTTGAAGTAGTTTTACTGGAAGAAGCCATGTCATTCAATGCAAAACATATTGCTTCCGCATTCACTGGATCAGCAGCCAACCCATCATCAAAGCTACCTCCTCGTATAGGAGACAATGATCCTAACATGATAAAATGTTGACAAAGAACCAATTAAAAAAGCAACTGACAAGTAACGCAGCCAGTTGTCTCTTTTCTGGGGTGACGAACATCACTAATACTCAACTTGCATGTCATGCAAGATAAATCATGAGCTTAACAATAAGTCATATTCACACCAAATACAGGAACAAAAAGTTTCTAGATAATTGCAAATGAGAAAACCACTTCAAGTTGGTCACAAGGGCAGTGAGATAAATAGCTTAGCGGCGATTGACATTTATTCCATGATTGAAGCTTGAGATTGACAGATAACGAATTTTGACAGTTCAGGCACAATTTAGTCCTCCAAACACCATTTTCCTGAAAGTAAGCCCACTGATTTAACAATCTTATCCACTTACTGCCCTTTATGGTCAACTACCACGAATGTGTAAACCTAACATACCCTTAGAGACCTCTTAGGAGAAAACAGAAAAGAAATGGGGAGGGAGGGAGGGAGGGACGGGGACAGAGAGAGGGAGGGACGAGAAGAAGAAGAAGAAGCATTGAAAGAAGCAAGAATACTCAAACAAACGTACCATCATCATCAATCATAGGATGATATGGCGTCTTTGGTTCTGTAATCTTCTGTCTTACAGGCTTATTTGCTTCAATCTCCCCAAGATTGGCTTCATCCCATCTCACACGTCCCCTGGCACCAGAATGAACATGCTCAGATCACGATATATCTTGTTTAATATTTGAGAGACGTCCAAATGATGCAGACTTTCCCTTGGACAGTCATGAATACAATTCTAAAAACATTAAAAATCAGAATGGAGAAAAGTAAATGAACAGAATAGTCAATTCTTTGCCAACAGTACGCCAACAACAAGAAAACCTCCAAAAGAGTTATGTATGATCATATTCATTAGCCAGACTAGTACTACTTCTTTAACATAAGTTTCTGTTCGTCATGCACATTTGACCAAACTCAATTGATTGAACACAGCTCCATACCGTACAAAACTCAATAACAGGCTTGAAATATGTGCAATCAACTCAAGGAAAATAACTCGCCACTTGAAATTGAATGGGAGAGGAACAACAAAAGAATTATGAAATCTATCTTTAGAGATTTCAAGCCTCAATCATGGTGATATTTGTAAGCATAAAATGCAGCCAATAAGTAAAAGCTATAGGAACCCCAGTAAGCAGAAAGCATACGGAAGGGGGAATTACCTCATTTCCGCAGTCAAAAGGAAATATTGTACAAATCCCAGCACGGGTTCAACAGTTGACCGTCAAACAGCTAGCAGTGAACAGCAAAACAAATCTGGTAATAAGCTTTTTTGGCTCAAACAAGTAAAATTTCCTCCAAATTAGAAGTTCTGTAGCAAGTACAGACAAATTCAGATTTTAATCTCCATCCACATCAATGGACCATAACAACATTTTCAGGCTACGGTAAAACATTTTTAGAACTCGGCTATTCTATTAGATGAAAAATGACTAATCACAAACGAAGCCCTAATGGTTACTTATAAATGGAACCAGAACCCCCGCCCCCCCCCCCAAAAAAAAAAAGCTAAAGAACTACTTACCAAACAAGATAATTTATTCAAAATCAAGAACAGACAACAAAGAATATCCGATTAAGCACTTCTTACGAAACATTCAATTCATTGACAATTTTCATTCAATGTTCAGGGGCCCAGGTGCATGAAATTCGGAACTTCCCGATATTGCGAGAGGTTCGCCAAAGTGAAAAAAGAAATAACCAAGCTTATGGCATGGCAATGCAGGGGGGCGGTTGGAAAAAAAAATGGAAGAAGGAGAAGACAGAGATCGTACCTTTGAAAAGATGAAGGAATGGTAGCTGTTCCCTTGCTTCCTCTTGCGAAAATGTATTTATGTCAATTGTTTGAGGAAAGCTGCTTGTTCTACGATTCCTTTAATACCCCTGCCACTTAGGTGTATTAGCAAATCGCCCTCAACATCGCCCCAGCACGACCGACATCATCTTGGGCTTTTCTTTTTACTCAAACGAATGTCCTGATTTAAGTTGCTGCAATAATTTGCAAGCCTTTTTGTATAAGAGATCCGATTAATATTTTCCTTAGTTTAAATTTTTTTTATTTCAACACTGCCCCACACACACACACATATAATTATTTTTAATTGTGTAATATGCATGTATTTAATGGTGTTCATTTAAAAAAGAAACTAGCATTCTTAACATTGACCAAAGAGTTGGACGGATGAAAGGAAGCTAGTATCCCTTTTTTACTAGGATTGGAAATTTGACAAGAACTAATTATTTTTAAAGTGTACATGCATCAACTTCTTTTTTAAGTAAGAAATCCCAGCTACTTGACTTAATCATTCTCTCAAGTTTTAATTCCATTTATTTACTATTTATATCATATATTCATATGTAATGAGAGGGGAAGGAAAAAAAAAGAAAGAAATGAACACAATTGGCCAAAAACAACCGAGGTCATTAAACTTTTAAAAAAAAGGTCATTAAGCTTATTTGTTGTATCTATTAGTAGTATTTTTTTGAGCGAGTTTGACTAACTCCGGGTGGAAAGAAAGAGAAGAAATGGAAATAAAGAAAGATTGACTTTGTTTCATGCACTTAATTAATTAAATGTAACTAGTTAGTGTGTTTGGATTGAAGATTATTTCACTTTATTTACACACATTGATTTGCTAGCATCATCAACACATTTTTCAATCACCTTTTTATCTCACACATATTATATCAAAAAAAGTGATATAGTAAAAAATATCTCAAATAATTTACAATCCCAACACACTCAGTATGGCTGCCAGGCTAGTGGGAGTGGGGGCCTACCTATATACTCATATTAGAATTTTGTTAACGTAATTAAGGCGGTTTGGGATTGCGATTGTTTATTCAAAAATACTTCACCAATAGAATTTTTAACAAAAATACTTATTAAATACTTAAATATTTAAAATAAATTGTTTGAATACATAGTTGAATAAGTATTTATTGTATTAAATAATATGTAATATAAAATATTAAAATATATTTATCTCTTTATTTAATTCATAATATAAGATAAAATAATTAAATTTAATATTTTATTTTTTAAAACATAAAAGCTATTCTAATAATATTTTTAACGCTAAAAAGTTAACTCTAATTTTACAGAACCAAATGCCTCAAAAGTTTTTGTAACATCCAAAAGCGTTTTTTCACCGAAAGTACCGCGATGTCAAACGAGGGTGAAAGAAGATGACGTGCAGCGCACCCTGTTCCACTCAATACGGGTCTGGGTCAAACGTCAAAACTCCGAGTGTTCGAGATTGGCAATTTGGCAGTTGGCACAAACCAGGGAGGGCATTGTGGGAAATAGACATGAAAAGCAAGATGAACGCGAGAACAATGGGCCGAGAAAATTATTATGAACAAAATTCCGTAATAAGCAACAAAACCGGTGGGGGATTTGAAGCTCTTCAAACAAGAAGGGAAAGGGGTTATTAAAGAAATTAAAAATCGAGCTGAAAGAAAATTCCCAGATAGCTCTATTTGATTTGCAATCTCGCTCATTCTTCTTTTCCGCATACAGTAAGAACATCTTCTTCTCTTGTGCAGTAGTATTATAATTGATTCTTTGATCCTTGATCTGGAGCTTTTTTTTTTCTTTCTGTTTTCGGTTTATTGAATTTCAAGTATTTTATCAGTAAATAAGTAGTGGGGTTATTTTGTATCGAGTGTTCCGGATTCAAGATCTTGTTTTCCAGTCGCATTAGTTATTGCGCCTTTGTCGGTTCTGTATCACAGGCCTGGGGAAGATCAGGTCCTTAAACTCAGGGGAAGATTCATCAACTTAACTACGAAAAACTGAGA